CCAGGCTGGTCTCAAACTCACAGTGATTCTCCTGTCTCAACCTCCAGGGTGCTAGACAGCTGGGACCACAGGCACGTGATGCCACGCCTGGTTCTGGGGCCGCCTGGGCACTTTTGGGGGTTCCGGGACTGGCAAGCCATACAGGGCCGGGGATCAAACTTGGATCCTTGTGCTTGCCAGGTAGGTGCTTATGCCTCTGAGCTATCTCCCCAGCCCCCAGAATTTTTTTCTTTTCTTTCTTTGTACTGAGCATTCTGAGCAGTATCCAAGCCCTTTTTTATTCTGAGACAGGGTCTCAATAAATTGCGATCCTCCTACCTCAGCCTCCTAAAGTTCTGGAACACGATCCTGTATATAGAACATCCTAAGGTACCTCTCGTAAGAGTATTAGAGTAGATAAACTCAGCAAGGTTGCAGGATAAGAGATCAATGGACAATCCAGAGTGAAACTAAGATGTTTCTGTTTACAGGAGTGTCAGAATAAAATACTTAGGAATCAAGGCTGGACATGGTCGTCCACATCTGTCATCCCAGCACTCAGGAGGCTGAAGCAGGAGGATTGCTAATTCAAGTGCAGCCTGGGCAATTACTGACTTAACAAGACAAAAATAAAAAAAGGGCTGGCCAGGGATGTGGTTTAGTGTAAAGACTCCCAGTCAGCAGTCTTTCAGTCTCTCTGTGTCTGTGTCTGTGTCTGTGTGTCTGTGTCTGTGTCTGTGTCTGTGTCTGTGTCTGTGTCTGTCTGTTTGTCTGTCTGTCTGTCTGTCTGTCTGTCTGTCTCTCTCTCTCTCTCTCTCTCTCACACACACACACACACACACACACACACACTTCATGTTGGTATGAAGAAGTGGGAATTTCCCATTCCAGGTGGTTGGGTGCCTGTTATCCCAGCTGCTCTGGAGGCTGAGGCAGGAAGATCACAAGTTCAAGGCAAGTCTGAGCAACTTATTGAGACCTTGTCTCAAAATATGAATAGATGAGTAGGCCGGAGGCTGCAGCTCAGGAGTGAAGCACCCCCAGGTGCTTGCGTAGCCACACACATACTCTTACCCCCTACCACCACCGCAAGAGGTAGGAATTTTGAGAGGTGATTAGGTCCTGAGAGCCAGCTAATCCCGGGTTGGCATCACAGCTTAGGTCTCGATGCCACACTCAAAGCCTCATGCACCTGTCAGTGGGGGCTGGGAGATCAGTGCTCATGGGGCTGACAGTCATTAGCACTGATGAGTTTAGGACTCCATGTTACCCTGGGAGGAGGAGCCAGGTCCAATGCGGCAGCACTAGGGCCTTGGAAGCGTTTACCTTGTGGCTCTCCTGCTGCCCACTGCCCGGCTGTCCCTCCTGGGAGTGGCTAGCTCTGTACTGAGCCTCTCCAAATCGTGAGCCAAGAGAAACCTCTTCTGCCTTAAGCTGTGTGTGTTGGGCGTAGCTTCCCAGAGAGCACAAAGTGATCCCAGTGGTTGGTTATCCTGGGTTCATGGGCGTGGACTTCTCCTGAGAGGGTAAATCTCTCTTTCCATGGTGCCATGTCATGCCTCCTGGTTCCCCTAGTCTCCAGAGCTGGGAGCGAGATCTGCTTATGCTTATAAATGACCCAAGCTCCAACGACCAGTCCTGTTAGGGTATCAGAGGTCATCTGATGACCCCAGACAGTCATCTAAATGCAGACGTCTACACAGTTCTCCAGAGAAACCCAAGTGACAGGACACAAGCATGCACACTTACACGCACGCTTGCACATGCACACACATTTATTTTGAGGACTTGGTTCACATTGTCACTGGCTCTGGCAGGTTCAGTTCTGAGGCAGAATCTCTCCTTCGGTGGGAAACCTCACTTCTTGCTTTCAACTCAGTGGATGAGGCCACAAAGGTTATTAAGGGCTCTTCCCTGGGAGTCCTCTGATTAGAGCTGTTGACCGTAGTCACGGCATGCCTTCCCTGCAATGCCAAGAGGCATGTTTGATGAAATCCAGGGACACTAGTGGGGCCAAGGTGACAGATATCATTAACCATCACAACATCTTGTGATGTACGCTGGGAAGACTTGTTACGGTCCCAACCTGCTTACTGCTCTGCCACAAGGAAGGATATGCTTGAGATGTTTCTAGGTAAGTGGATGCACCTTGAGCTGTACTCTTCAGTGAAATAAGTGGGACACACATGTGCAAATCCCACATTGTTTCTCTGGTGTGAGAAGCCAAAGGTGTAAGGAAGGGCCAGCATGCGCAGTAGGTATTGTGAAGTGGAAAGCAACGGCTCACATGGGGAGGGGAACAAGGGAGAAGGAAAGGGAGAGAACAGAAGGGAACAGTGAACAAAAATGAGAAAAGAAGGAAAATATGGAAACAGCTTTTGGGAATGAAGAGGGGAGGAGTTGAAAGGAGGGTAGGGGAATGGGAAGAAAGTCAAATTATATAAAATACAGGTAAAATTCTCTATGATGAATGTGATCATTATATATACACCGAAAATGTACCAATAAAATTTGATTAAACAAATGAAAGTGGCAACCTCCTGTGAATCAGCCTAGGCAGGCTCGCTTCAGTCTCTAGCAAGACCAGCTGGCTTTTCCGCGCAAATTGTCAGGCTTATCTGAAAGCTTGCATGGAAACACGAGGGCCCTGAGTACCCAAAACGTGCACATCATGTTCTCTCTCTCTCTCTCTC